TGAGTTATAGAGCAAAATTAGCATGAGATATAAGTCTCCGTGTTAACAGATTGGGATCTTTTTGAATTTTTGTGACCTTGAACCTCCAAAAACTAATCACTTATAAGTTGGGTCATAGTCCAAATGTATACCAACTTTGATTTTTTACTTGCAGCCACCCTTTTTCTCTATAAGGAACGTGCCCATCTTGAATATTTAAGAATTTGTTTTTAAAATTTTTCCACATTTTATCAGTATCTCCAACTAATTCAGTTGCCTAATTCACGTTACATAATTCTTGTCTCATTTCCTCATAATCTGCTTTTTTGAAATTTGGAACTAAAATCTCAAAGTTCTTTATTTCCACATGCAGTAAAACATCAAATCTGCTTGAGCAATGATCACTTTCACTCAAACATTTCCCAACCTCTACCTTATCAACCATTTCTTTATTAGAAGTTAACAATAAATCTAAAATAGCATAATTATAACCTCATTGACAACTGAATTCTTTATCTCCCTGGAGAGTTTCCCATTAGTTTCATCTTGTGGTCTATAAAAAATTCCAATAAAAAGCCTTCTCGCTTTATAACCACCAACAGAAACCCAAACACGTTCAACGTCATTGCTATTAGCTTTGGTATCCTCAACTTGAACAGGCTGTAACTCACATTTTATGTGTAAAGCCACTCCTCCCCCTCTTTTTAGTATTCTATCCCAATTAAACAACTTATAAATGTCTACACTTAACTAGGTTTCAGTTATTTCCATTATATTAAAACCTTCTGTTCCAAGCATGTATTATATTTATAATACATCTAGCAATACAATAACAACATTTTGGCTTACTATTAAAACTACTTTTGTACCTTGTTCCCACACTATACCCCTCTCTACATCTTATTTTTCCTTTGTTATTCTGGCAATCTTCAGTATCTTATACTCGGTTAAAGTTTCCTTTACAAATAAGTTAATAACCCTTGCAAACAAGGCAGCCCCTGGCCTATTTTCATGTAAACCATCCATTCCAAAAAGATAGTTTAAACTCAACTTACGTATTGGGAAATTTGGAATAAACAAATTGATAGGATAGCTAAAGTAATGGGGAGATAGAAAAAAACAAAAGATTCAGAGCATAAAAAGTTAGGTAATAGTTTTAAAGATAAGTTTCTTAAAACTTAAGATAAACATAGTAGATTCAAGAATAAGCTGAAATGCTATTATTTTAATGTTATGAGTACTTAGAAAAAAATGGATGAGTTAAAGGCCGGGCTCAAGTTGAAATAGAAAAAATTTTGATATGTTGGGAATTACTGAAACTTGGTTAGATTTGTAGATCATTAAGAGTAGGACTTGTTCTGAAATTCTAAGTTAAGTTATTTAACAGTTACAGATTTTTTTAAATAGGGTTGGATGGCTATATAAGGGATAAGTTACCACCTTTGGGATCGGAGGCATAAAAGTGCTAGTCAAGAAGTTGAATCACATGGGTTACAATCGGAGGCTTTAAATTCATAATTGCTATAAGCCACTTGATTAGGCATATGAGGTAAATGAGAAATTGTAAACGTTGTTATTAGTAAGAATACTGATATAATAACTATTGGAGACTTTAATTTTAGACACATTAACTAAAATTGTATGGAGTCAAATGGTGATATAGAAATATTTCTTGGTATGGTTCAAGATGATTTACTATACCAAATGGACAGAAAGCCAACAGAGATGGTATTTTAGATTTATTTTTAGTCACTAATGAGGATATGGGTGCAAGAGTTAAAGTGGAGAACATCTAGGAAAGAGTGATCATTACATAATTAAGTTTGATGTTTTGCTACATGTTGAGATGAAGAGAAATAAAATTTCTAATTCCTAGTTATCAAAAACCCTATTTTGAGGCTATGAGACAAAATTTATCATTAGTAAATTGGAGTAATGAATAAAAAGGTGATAAGGAACATATTCTGGAGATTTTAAAAAATATATTCCTTTTAATTCAAGATAAGCATATTGCCAAAAAGAGAAAAAGGATAACAGGGAAGATCAAAACTAACTGGTTTACTAAAAACATAATTTGGAAAATTTACACAACTATACAAAAGACAGGGATTTGGTTTAAAAAAGAAATCACGGAAATGTAAAAGGGCTTACAGCTGGCTTGAAATGTTAAACCACACAGCAAGTTTAACTATAAACAAAGTAAGCAAAATATTAAAATGTAGATTGGCCAATTAAAGGATAGTGATGGCATGGTTTTTGTGAAAACTGCAAGATGACCAAGTTTTCAAGTGTTCTTTCCTGTTTTTACAAGAGAGGATGTCAGCAATATTCCTGATGCTCAGCATTGTAAAGTGAAATGTTAAAACTGAACTGAATTATGTACATATTAACCTCTATTGATAAGTAGAAAAACTGATAAAGCACCAGTCAGCAAAGGGTTTCCCAGAGCTTTTAAGGAGGCAAAAATCAGGTGTTTGAGCCTCTTTAATTTCTAGTAGATTACAGACATTGGGTAAGTGAATGAGGATTTTACACTTATTAATGGTACTTATTTTTAAAGGGAGTGATAACAGTTATCCTGGAGATTGGTGAACTAGTCTTATTTCTGTAATTGAAAAAATCTATAGTGTGATACAAAAAGCTTTACAAAATCATGTATTGAAATATGTTACCATAAATGAAAGCCAACATGGATTCAACAAATAGAAATCTTCCCTTACTCATTCTTTTTTGAGGATGTTACTTCTTACCTGCATGATGGAATGGGTGTGGCGTTGATGTTTTAGATTTTCAAACAGCTTTTAATGAAGAGCCACACAAGAGATTCTTACAAAATCACACTGGTAGGGAGTTAAGGAAAGACACATTAATTAGAGTGTACATCTAGGTTGATTAGATGGGAGAAAGCAAAAGTCAAACTGGGCCCTTATTATTAGTGGAGTGCCTCAGGGGTCAGTACTTAGGCCTTCGTTTTTCTTATTTACATTAATGATATTAAACTCTGGGATACTGCTAGCTGTATTGAAGATGATGAGGTATTACAGGATCAACTGGTAAGTTGTTGAAATAGTTGGTAAGTGACCTTTAATTTAACAAATTCAAGGTAATACATTTCAGCTACCATAAGTTGGATCACATTTTTAGCATATGTGGACTCACTTACTAAGATGATCGAAGAAAAAAATCTTGGCATAGTGATATGTATGTCACTCATGCCATCAAAGCAGTGATTTTTTGCTAATAATAGAACTAATAAAACTTAAGAGTATATTTACAGATATACTGATAACAAGTTTAAAAAGGTAATTCCAGAAATCACTAGCTAGACCTCACTTAGAACATTATGTACAGTTTTGGTCACCTTATCCAAAAAAATAAAATAAAAGGATATTGTCTTATTGGAAAGGGTTCAAATGAGGGCTACCAGGATTACACCTGAACGTAAGGTTATCTTATAGCTTAAGATCTCTAACTTATTTTCTCTTTAGAAAAGAAGGATAAGTGGTGTAATGGTTATTCAAGTTTAAATAATTATTCAGGAGATTGAGAGGATAAACTTCTCTTATTTCTTTGTGCTATATTCTGAAGAAAAAGCCTGGAACAAATTTTAAAATTGTAAAAAAACAAGCTTGGCTCCAGTTAGGACATTTTTACTTTTCTAACAAGGTGATTGACTTGTAGAACAAGTTACAATTAGCAAAGTGAAAGCCAGCACTTCATAGGAGTTTAAGAGGGAAGTAATGATTTCCTGAAAAATAAAGGGTGAGTTTAATTTCTCAAGGGAGGGTGTGAAATAAAAGAACTGTAGTAAACTTAATTATGCAATGAAACTTTTTTCACAAATATTTCTCCACTTTAACTCTTGCAATCACATCTTCGTTAATAGATAAAAGTCAATCTAAAATTGTATTTCCTCCGGTTGGCTCTCTGACCATTTGGTATAGAAATCTTGAATTAATAGTATGTCTCCCAATGTGTCTAAAATTAGATTCCCATAATTGTTGTATTAGTATCCTTATTAGTGACAAGCTTGATCTTATTATACAATTTCAAATTGAAATTATCTGTATGATCAGGTGGTTGAAAACAATTGTGAATTAAAAAACTTTCTGCCCTTAAAATCCCTCACTGTAAGCCCATACAGATTCAACTTCTTGACTACCATTTCTGTGTTCATTCCCAACAGGATGTAACTAATTGCTTATATAAAGAACCACCCTTTTTTAAAAAATTCTATCATTATCAAGTAACTCATCTTAAGCTAAAAACCTCTATAGTATGTCCTTATACTTTTCACACCCACTTAAATATTTCAAGCTTTTTTACAATGACTCCCAAATCTTTTTCACTCAAAAATGCAAAGTATTTGGATTACCCAAACTAATTTTCTTAAGTAGAAAGTCCCTTCAAGATAAATCAAAGTACATGTTTTGGAAATTATTGAAAATGAAAAGATAAAACAAGAATAAAGCAATAAATTTTCATCATTATTACCTCATTAGATCATAAGCGAGATGACAAGCCATTCAGCACAACAAGTTCACACCTCATCCAAAAAAATGAAATTACATTGTCTCTTTTACATCTATGTACTTATGCAATAAAATGTTTTTAAGAAATTCAAAAACAAAAAAGTAGTTTATACAAATGTTATTTTGTGAAAAGATATGATGAACTTAAATTTCAAACCTAAATCAAGATCCCTCTAATTCTTCTACTCTCCAGAGACAATAAATCCAAAACTTTAAGCTGTTCCACAAACCTCAAAAATTGTAAATCAGTCAAGTGTCATTGCAATAACTCTTCTGTGCATTCTCTCCACCATGCTATCTTTTTCTATAGTAAGGAAACTAAAGCTGTACATTATACTGTAAATGAAATCTTACCAGATTGAAATAGCTTCCTTATTTTTAAAGTCAAAATTGTCTATGCTTATGTTCTTATGTATTAATGGTTACAAAATGTGGAAGGAATACAATTTTTGTTTTATTTAGTTTTGTATATAAAATATATATGCATTAAATGTTGAGTATAATTGTAAGGAACTCGTATGTGATTTCTGCTAATTGTTAATTGATAGTAAACAATACAATTATAAAGAAAAACCAGTAACAATTAAGAAAGTATTGATACTGTCAATGTCAATACAAATAACTTTATTTTTTGATTAAGATATTTTTATACTTGTATATATTTTAGGGATGAAACAACTTCCTTATTCTTAACTTCAAAATCTCTATAAATAGATTCAAGAACATTAACAGTGAAAAATCACTTGAATAGTATAAGTTATAACTTACATTTAGATTTGGCATCTTTATGTGATTATATTTATTACTGCCAATGTCTTATTAGGATCAATAGTTGTGATTTTTGTAGTATAGAACACAGAACCTGGTTTCTTACTTTTAATACTAATATTATTAATTGTTTTTTAACACAAACAATGCATAAGTAAGCCTCAGAAAAATCAGTTTTACTCAATTACTTTTAGCACCATGGATGGGTATAATGAGAGAATTAGAAAGAAAAAAAAAGTTAAAAACCTACACCTATATGTCATTAATCTTATAATTTATATTGTACTTTTGACAGTTTGTAGTCCAATAGCTTAAATAATTTCTTATGCTAACCTCGTTTAAATTTAATAATAAACAATAAATTAAAATGTCGACTTCAAATTCAATCTATTACTTTGCAGACCTTCATCACAGAATTAAACTTATCAGTTACAGTTTAAGTGAAGAACTAAAGACAGTGAGAAAAAATGTTAACTTAAAATTACATACGTTCGTAAGCCATTTGGTTTTGTAAAACTACTACTACTAGTAATAGTTTCGTTTAAGTCTAAGTAAATCTTTGTATCATCATGTGTGGTTTATTCAACATTTATAAATATTTCACGTTTCTGTCATGGTACTGTTTAACATTACGAGTATCATTATACAGTCTACTCTAGGACTTGAAAATGACTTATTTAAGTTATTAAGGAGGCTCGTTTACGCTAAATAATTAATAATTTCGAATAAAAGTTAAAACCTAAAATTATTTGAAACTTGGCAAATCATAATCGTAGCTTGGTAGTTCCAACTTTTAGTTCTAAAGCACAAAACAATGCTCAAAATCCAAACTTAAGGTGCATAAACTATAAGTTATTACCATGAAATCACATATCAGCTCTGTTATTTAAAATAAGTTAGTAAATTTTCCTTATTTCTTGTATTTTTAAAGAAAATTTTAGATAGAACTATAAGTTTCACCCTTCAAACATACACGCGCGTCCTCTACCAATGAAAAATTACTAATATCAACATGGTCTAATATTAAATTTGTAGCTCAAATGTATATAATAAATCATATAACTATAAAATAATTTACTGTTTGTTTAGGGCAGACCTACAGAATGGGTTGTCTGACCTCTGTTGAAAAAACTGAGATAGAACGCAAAAATAATAATTTTAGAGTGATAAAAATTGTTTAAGATGTGTAAAAGATAGTATAATTAGATATAAAACACGACAAATTATGGTAATATTATTGACGTTTCGGGCCTTTGTTTGTTCGTTTTTGAATTTCGCGCAAAGCTTCACGAAGGCTATCTGCGCTAGCCGTCCCTAATTTAGCAGTGTAAGACTAGAGGGAAGGCAGCTAGTCATCACCATCCACCGCCAACTCTTGGGCTACTCTTTTACCAACGAATAGTGGGATTCACCGCACTTATAACGCCCCTACGTCTGAAAGGACGAGCATGTTTGGCGGGACGGGGATTCGAACCCGCGACCCTCAGATTGCGAGTCGAGCGCCCTAACCACCTGGCCATGCCGGGCCCTCTGAGCCTTAAACCCTTCTTCAAAAAACTTAAGTTTCAAAAACCAGTGCTCTGTTACCGCGAATAATCATACTCTGAATTTTAGAGTTGTAAGTCCTTAAACCTACCGCTTCTCCACCAGAGAACTATAATCTAACACTTCATTCTACTTATCTGTGTGTTTTTGAAAGACAAAAATAATAATAATTAAGGGCTGTTATATCCATAATGAAAGTTATAAAATATCGTATTACTATTATGGATCAAATGCATGTGATATCACAAAATATTCCACCTTTCCTACTTCTGATGCTCATTAATATGGAAGTACTACCTGTATAATCTCACATCTTGTAATGTCACATCCAGGTTTGACTCGAATTTTATGAATTGTTGAATTCATGGCATTAAGCTAGCATATTTTTTATTCAGATGCACGAGAGTTCTACCAACAGTTAATCTACCAGGAAATGCTGGAGCGTTTGATTCTGTTATGGTCCACTCACTAGATTTTAATTTTAAAAAATATCCTAATATGAGTATTTCACTTCTTATTGGTACAAGGACTGCTCTTTTTGTAGTGACGGGAAGTTTAACCTCTAGTGTAGTAACTGTATTTAACGCACTGAGATTTTGTGGTCATACACTGCGAAGCTATTTAAAGCTAACCTAACCTCACATCCATGTCTCTGCATGAAGTTAGTTCCTATTATGCACTCTTACCCACACATCATGTGGCATAGAGATGTTTCTTGCAGTAAGAGCTACTTCTAACTTTCCACTTGCAGGAACTTTGTATTCACTTGCTGTATATATCACTCCCTTTTCTTCCTTCACTATGGAAGGAAACTTCCACCATTTATTACCAAATCGGGTCGAACTTTTATAGTAGTAAAACCAGAGTCAATCAACATACTGTAAAGATTTCCACTAATAAACACGGCGACTCGTGGATTGATGTCCTTAAAATAATGAACTTTATATTTCATTTGGGGCAGGTGGGGTATTTTCAACTGAACTTTGTGACTTTAATAGATTCTAGTTCCATGTCCCATGGCAGAGCTTCCTTTAAAGACATAAACCCACACTTCTTCAGGTTATTTATTATATCCTAGTCTGTTGTGACATCTCTAAATTGGTCATTTGCCAATAAATCCATCATTTCACGAGGAACATCCAGGTAAGATAATTGGCAAGACTTTGAAAATCTCCTGTAAGTTCAGCTAAGGCATTTTCTTTTCTTCGTATCTTGTTCTGGAATTTTTCTTTCGATACTTTCTTTGATTTATTACTCCAAATCTGTTGAATAAGGTGGCTATTGATGCTTTATAGTTGTTGACGCTCTCAACTGGAAGGTTACTTAATGTCATTAAAGCTCATCCTTTTAAATGGGCAGCAAGAAGAATAGTTTGTTGTTCATTATTCCGCCTGTTCACTTTGAAAATGAATTTGAACTGAGCCTAGTATATCTCCCATAGCACCCTTCCATCATAGTCCAATGATTTCTCGAGTGCCAGATGTTGAACTGGAAATGTAAATTTTGTTACTAGGTTTGGTAAGGACATGGCTGGACTAGTCCAGGAAGGTTCTGCAGCAACAGATGGTACAGCAGTAGTCGTAATAGATGTAGCCCAATAAAACTCTCATATCAAATATTTTGCTTTAGGTTGGAGCTATTGAGCCAATGCAGAAAGAGGTGTGTGGCTGGTTTAATCTTTGTCTTTAATAATTCGTTTACCAAACGTTTTATTCTGTAATTAATGTTCATTTTGCCTTGTTAGCAAGGTTAATGAGAGGGGGCAGCTGCCCTCAGTCTGTTGAGGGGCTCCGTCGTGGAATATTACAAAGCTCACGAGAAATGCATACTACTTAATGAGTTTAAATGGCTACTACTTTTTCGTGGATTCATGAAGAAATTTGTCACCTAAATTTCTTTTATGAAAAATCAGCAAAAGTTAATAAATAGAATGAAAGGGAGGCCAGGTGATGTTATTGACCCTGGGACTTGGGCTGGCTCTCGACGCCCCTTCTTGTTAGTATATCTCTTTACTTCATTTGTGTCTTTTTCTACTTATTAATTTTTTTCTATACTTTGCTGAAGCCTTTCTGTGCTGCTTCAATTTTGTTATTATAGCATTTCTGTATTTCTTTATTCTTGTTTGTGTAATCTTTCTGTAACTTTCCAATAGCTTCCTCTATGTATCTAGACTAGTTTGTTTTGGTTGTTGTTATGTAAAAGTTACACAGTATGCTATCTGTGCTCTACCAACTACGGGTATCAAAATCCGAATTTTTGCATTGTAAGCCTGCAGCCTTACTGCTGAGCCACTAGAGATATATCTAGAATATAATAATGATATTAATATTACCCTGAGAAGGATCTTTTTACATTAAACTTTGCTACTATATAAAGAATAAAATTTACATAAATTTCTCCAGTCAACCAATGTAACTGACATTCCACTGAATGCTATTTCTCTAATCAACTGAGAACAATTGAAGTTGGAATTTTTTAAATGACACATATACTGTATTGGAAAACAATGAGGAAAAGAGGTATAAAAGAAATGCCATCCCTTTAGCACTGACAAGCTAATTAACTGCACCAAAGTACAGTAACATCTTGATAGCTTACATTGTGTTTTGTTGTCATCCAGTCAATCAGAAAGATTTATACCATTATAAAACCTATAAAAGAACATGTAGTAGCCATGTTTAAATAATGGCTCCCAGGCCGAGATACCGAATGCCAAATGGTAGAAATCAAGCTTTTGGCTGGTCAAGGATAATAAATGCGAAATTTTTTTGGCAAGACACCGTGTTTCAGTAGGATCTGTATGCAAGGCTATGAAGAGGGTGCATGAAACTGGCACTGTTTATATTTGAAATGGTCGAGATAGAAAACCAAAACTGGCGTTAAATGTCTCAAGGTATTTTCTTTATGAAATAGACAACAGTAGAGTACAGATTTTGTCAGTGACATTGCTGTAAATACAGGTGTGAATTTTACCACGAGAATAGTAAGATAGTGATTTTAATGGACATCTAGATGCTGTAATAACATTATTGAGAAAAGGTAACTATACAAAATGTTGAAATGAGACTACAAACAATGGAATGAGCAGAGTTAGAGACGTGTATTATTCAGAGATGGATCTAAGTCCAGAGAGTAAAATGTTACCATAGTTATTGTACAATTTCTATAGTGATATGATGAGGGGGTCATTACAAATCTGAAGCTGCATTTTAGCCAATGTTGTCAGTGATCTGCATAAAACTGATAGCAACCTGATAATTACAAAAGAAAGTACAGGTAGTTTCTAATCCATCATGCTATTCCTTCAGGAATACAACTTATCAAATAGGGGATTTACTTTTCAGCAAAAGAATGATCCCAAGCATATTTGTTATATGGTGAAGCGATATCTTGACAATAAAGAAACCAATGGAACTCTTAATTACAATGGCCTGCACAATGTCCCAAGGCTAAATAGGCTTACATGGACACTGAGAAAATGAAAAGTCGACTTAATAACTTGGGCATTTTGAACAATATTTCACAGTTGTAAATTCATAAAATGTGTAACAATATCCGCCTATGGTAACAGGTATCGAACTGTGATGTCACCCCTTACCTAAAACAGCAGCGCCCCTCTGGTACCACTTCGTCGAACCATGAAGTCACCCTTCCCCTATGACAGCTGCGCCCTCTGGTGCCTATTAGGTAACAGTTATGTGTCTCGTGTTGACCTCCTTGCAAATTAAATAATAATTATGTAACCCTCAGCCATCAGCATCCATTGTATATTATGTAACAATTATATAATAAGTGTTGGCATCTTTTGGACACTGAACAATCCTGATAACTAGTAAGGCATTATAAAGTGATGGTCAATAACACTTTTCATTCAGTAGCCCAATTGTTGGTGATGGATGGTATTGACTAACCACCTTCCCTCTAATCTATCACTTCTAAATTAGGGATGGTCATAGATAGTCCTCGACTAGCTTTTCGTGAAATTCAACAAACAAAGACAGTAACATGTAACAAGGTTTCAGCCAACACACTATAACAATCATCAACGTCACATCATTTATTAAGGTATTTAACTTTAGGTGTTGCATTCCAGCTAATTCAAAAAACTCGGGTACTGGGTGAAAAGCATCGTCAACAACGGCGTGTGTCACAGGGTGGATACACTCCAGATGGTGTTACGTTTCTCCTCATTAGAAACCCATAGTAAAGAGTCAGTAAAGAAAGATTTGTAAAGAAATATTATCAATTTTATTGCTATGCATTTGGACATTCCCATAACTCAAGAAAGTCATTGTACATTTAGCATAGATTAAATATAAGCTTTTGTGACTTTGTAAGCTATACAAGAGAAACTATGTCACCTATTATTGGATTATTTGTCTACATTTGATGGACCCTTGGTCCCGTACTTGAGTGGT